TTAGTTATAAATTTAAAGAATTTGTAAGATGAATTTTATTTATCTCTCCTTAATTTCTAGCTATTACTGTTATAATATTGGTGAAGAAGGCTATATTTCTCCAAATTGGAAGTTTTGTAGCTTAAAAAGACTATAAAAAGCTGGTCACTTCAGTGGTTGATTTTACATCTTAAAATAACGTGGGGCTCAGCAGAACCTCTGATATTGAGAGAGCTTGCTGCCTCCAACAAAATCAAGTATCCAGGCCCAGATGAAATGTATCTTAGCGTGTTCAAAGAATTTGTATGTGACATAGTTTAATCAACAAGAATAGAGTTAGATTTTATCTTTTTAAAATTCAATGTGGATACTTCACAGCACAAACCTAAATTTTCAATGTGAGTCAGGTTCCTTGTTTGCCTTGCCCAGCTCTGGTTTAGGATTCAGCTTTTTTAGGTCTGCTACTTAGTTACCCTTTGTCCATATGCTTTCCAGCAGCTGGTGCCAGTGCTCTTTTGATGAAAATTTAAGTTGTTTCTACTCATTTGCTATTCCAAATAATACTGAAACAAAAAAACTTATGTAAAAAGAAAATTGACAGGTAAAGATTTTATCCAGATCAATGGAAAATAGAGCATGTATTAATTTTTTTTTTTTTTTTCTTGTAGGCCTTGAGAGTAATGGCTAAAATTATGAGAGAATGTTGGTATGCCAATGGAGCCGCTAGGCTTACGGCTTTGCGCATTAAGAAAACATTGTCACAACTCAGTCAACAGGAAGGCATCAAAATGTAATTCTGTGGCTTCGCCTGAACTCTACTTTTTTCTTCAGATCTGCTCCTGGGTTTTAATTTGGGAGGTCAATTGTTCTACCTCACTGAGAGGGAACAGAAGGATATTGCTTCCTTTTTGCAGCAGTGTAATAGAGTCAACTAAAAACTTCCCAGGATTTCTTTGGACCCGGGAAACAGCCATGTGGGTCCTTTCTGTGCACTATGAACGCTTCTTTCCCAGGACAGTTACAAAATATTGTGTAGTCTACCTTAATTTTTTATTAACAAAACTTGTTTTTTAAAAAAAGATGATTGCTGGTCTTAACTTTAGGTAACTCTGCTGTGCTGAAGATCATCTTTAAGGGTAAAGGAGCTGGATTGCTAAGTTATAATGAAACATTTCTTATTTTTAAAGAAAGTGATTTACTCCTGGTTAGTACATTCTCAGAGGATTCTGAACCACTAAAGAGTTTCCTTGATTCAGACTTCGAATGTACTGTTCTATCATTTTTCAGGATCTTAAAACTAACACTTATAAAACTCTTATCTTGAGTCTAAAAATGACCTCATATAGTAGTGAGGAAGATAATTTATGCAATTGTATTTTGTATACTATTATCGTTCTTTCACATATTCAGAACATTACATGCCTTCAAAATGGGATTGTACTATACCAGTAAGTGCCACTTCTGTGTCTTTTCAATGGAAACAAGTGGAATTGCTTAAAGTCTGTGTGTTAAAACCAATAATGTTTGAATTTGAAAAGTCTATTTGGGTAATCCAAACTTTTTCTGTTTTGTTTTTTGGAAGGGTTTTTGTGGTATGTCATTTGGTATTCCATTTTGAAAATGCCTTTCTCCTACCAAAATGTGCTTAAACCACTAAAGAAATGAAGTGGTGTTAATTAGTAAATCGTTATCATGGTCATGTTTGAATATTCTCATATCAAGCATTTTGATTGTGTTGTCTAAGTATACTTTTAAAAAATCAAGTGGCACTCTAGATGCTTATAGTACTTTAATAATTTAAAAGTTTGTAGCATACAGACTAATTTTTCTAAAAGGGAAAGTTTGTCTAGCTGCCTGTGAAAAGTTGTGTGGTATTTTGTAAGCCATTTTTTTCTTTATCTGTTCAAAGACAGTGTTATTTTTTTAAGAGATGAATTACATTTAAAGTTAGAATACGGTTAATGTTAAATAATAGGCCTTTTTCTAGGAAGGCAAAGGTAGTTAATAATTTGAATAGATAACAGGTGTGTAAGAGAGTCACATTTGTTACATAGGAGTAAGTGTTCGGTGGGTTCTCTGTCTTTGTAACCAAGGTTAGAGTTAGTGTGGTTTTGAGGTCTCACTACACTTTGAGGAAGGCAGCTTTTAATTCAGTGTTTCCTTATGTTTGCAGATTGCAACTGCTTAATTTACGTTTAATTTATGTAATTAATTTAGTGCACCCTTGATATTTGGGAGAGGTGGTAGCTAAAGAACATTCTGAATATAGGTTCTCCATTTACAGATGTTTTCGGTCAGATTAAATGTTCAAAGCAAACTTGTTGTGGTCTTCTTACATTAAGTTGAAACTAGTTTATAATAACTGGTTTTTACTTCCAGTGCTATAAAGTCTCTGCAGGGCTTTTACAGTTTTTGAAGTCCTTTTTATCACTGTGATCTTATTCTGAGGGGGCGGGGAAACTATCATAGCTGTTAGGCAAGACTGACTTTATAGTGCTGTCAATTCCCCAATAAAAGGGTCGGAATAACCTTTCCAGTATTTTGGTCAGGAAGAGATAGTGGCCATTTACAATGAATGAGTTGCATTCTGATAATGTCTTATCTCTTATACATAGAATAAATTCAAAAGACTATTTGGTCTTAAAACCAAAGTAATTTTAGAATGAATGACATATTACATAGGAATTTAATGTCAATTTCATGTGTTTAAAAACATCATGGGGAAAATATGCTTAGAGGTTACTATTTTGACTACAAGTTTGAGTTTTTTTCTATAGTTACCGTGATTTCATCGAAGCAAATGAATGAGTTTGAGAGGTTTGTTTTTATAGTTGTGTTATATTACTTGTTTAATAATAATCTCTAGTTCTGTGATCAGGTACTTCTTTTTTTTTTTGGGCCATTTCTAAGCCTACCAGTTCTGCTTTATTAAATCCAGGGGACCAATGCATTTTATCACTAAAACTATTTTTATATAATTTTAAGAACATACCAAAAGTTGTCTGATTTAAAGTTGTAATACATGATTTCTCACTTTCATATAAGGTAATCAACTTCTGCTGAAGATATTCTTTGTTAAATCAAAGATGAGTTGCAATTATACTGTTCTTGCCTAGGTGGATAAAATGTACTTTTGATGAATCAGGGAATTTTTTTAAAAGTTGGAATTTAGTTCTAAATTGAGTTTACATATTACTGCAGTTAATTCCTTTTTTGGCTAGGGACAGTTTGATAAACCCCAACTGGCTAATAATGAAAGTGAAAGTAACTTAAAAGATGAGATGGATCGTGATTACTGTGGCCATAACTGCAGGTAGATTTGACTAGAGTAATAATTTTTTCATTTAGAAACACAATCCTTTGTTTATACTGCCTATCCTAAGATGCTTACCTTCCAAGTTTCAACTTGGCTAAAACATATCTTCTGGCAAATTACCTGTCCACATTCATTTGTCAGTATCCTGAAGTGGGACTGGGGGAATTGTGACTTAGTGGGACACAGAAACCCCTGGTCCATCCTTCCTTCCTATCTTCAGCTCTGTTTCTCCCAGCCTGCTCTCCTGCTGGTCCCTGACTCAAAGACCATTGCCTCCCCTCAGCCTTTTGATTGAAGAGCCACTTTCGAGACCTACAGTAAAAGGGCTGAAGGAAGTTGTGGGATATACTTCCATTTCCTTGAGTCATTGGAGGTGGCAGGGAAGGATCTCCAAGTTTGGAGATTGAGCAGATGAGGCTTGCGGTGCTTCTGCTGGTTGCCCTGCTTTGACTTTAGCCTTGGACGAGGAGGGGGATGGCAGCTGCGGCAGTGGGAGTTGTGCCAGAAGCAGTGGCCACTTATATCCTGTTTAGAACAGGGTAGGCCCGAAGAGCTGAGCCTGTAATTCTGCTGTAATGATAGTGCTCAAGAAGTGCCTTGAGTCGGAGTACAGTGCCATGGCCGTCAAGAATTTCAGATTTCCATTCTTATTACAAAATTTACGTGGTAACTTGGCCATTTTTATAGTCTTGTGCACGAGTTACCTTTTTCTTCTCTGTGTCTGAGAACTGTCAGATATAGACTATTTCGTAAAACAAGATGGCAAAGAGCTAATTAAAATGCACAACAAAATCAATATTCCATTAGACATGTCATATCAAAAGCTTATTTTTATCCTTGCACTGAAAGAAAGATTGTAAGTCAACTGTTTCTTTTGTTTCTTGACCATGGCAGTGTTCTGGCTCCAAATGGTGGAGGTTCCAAATAATGGTTCTGTTATAGCTCAGCAGAAAATGTCAGAAAATTCAGATATTTTGAGATCCTAAAAAATAGCTCTGGACATGTACTGTAGCTTCTTGTGTCTGTTTTGGAACGCTGGATACCTGTGTGCCCTCTCTCTAAGAATGCTGGACTTCTTTATAAGGGTTGTCAGTACATTAGATTTTTCAATCCCATTATGCAATCTTATTTGTAAATGTAAACTTTTAAAAATATGGTTAATAACATTCAACCTGTTTCTTAAAACTGAAAAGGAACTTTAGTGAATTTGTTTTTATTTTTTTAATAAGATTTATGAATTGAATATCATGAACCATGTTTTGATATCCCTTTTTCACGTTGTGCCAATGGAATCGGGTGTTTGATATTTCTTTATATGTCAAGGAGATGCTTCAAAATGTCAATTGCTTTAAACTTAAATTACCTCTCAAGAGACCAAGGTACATTTACCTCATTGTATATATAATGTTTAATATTTGTCAGAGCATTCTCCAGGTTTGCAGTTTTATTTCTATAAAGTTATGGATATTATGTTGCTAAATTACTCAAATGGTACTGTATTGTTTATATTTGTACCCCAGATAACATCATCTATTCTTTCTGTTTTCTGTATTTTATTGTATTTGTGCAAAATTCTTTTGGCTTTATCATGGTAATCTCTGCCCTTTCAGATATGTACAGAAAATGTCCATATAAATTTTCATTTAAGTGGAATGATTTTGAGAAGCCTGTAAAGAGGAGAAAAAAAATAAGCTGCATTTCCCCATAAGTTTTTTTAAGTTGTATATTGTATTTGTAGTAATATTCCGAATGAGCTGTAAATAGGAAATAGAAGAGTGATGCTTAAGTCCTAACACTACAGTAGAAACATGGAAGCAATGCAAATAAAATACTTTTTTTTCCCAAGCACCAGTGGTATATTTTAACATAAATGTATACTGGAGTGAGCCATGCTGTTATGAAATGCGGTTGCTGGAGATAGCGACTGGAATCTTTGGGTTACAAGAGTCTTTAGAGGTTTTCCCAACCCTACCCAGTGCAAGTTACAAGATTGTAGCATATTTGAGAAATGCCCAACTGCTTACCGGTGTGTCTCCATGCCTGGTATCTGCTTTCCGCTTGCTTGGGGGTGTGGGTCTGCCAGTGGACAAGACCTGTCTGCACGTGAACTCCTGAACTCCGTCGCCTTCAGCTCAGCACGTTTGCTAAGTTTGTTAAAATGGTATCGCTATTTTGATTCTTAAGGTTTTTCAGTGATTTTTAAAGGAAAATTTTGCGTATTTTCATCTTCTTTCCTAATTTAAGGATTTGTGAGAATTGGCATAATTTGTAGTAATAGGCTTTTTTTTTTTTTTCTTTTGGTATATTTGAGTAGTCTCCCGGGGCTGAGAACTTGGCTGAACTGGGGAAATGGTTCAGAGAGGAGTTGTGGTCCTTAAACCCTTGACTGACTCTGGGAGGGGTTTTACGGATGGTATTGCTCTTACAGAAAAGACTAGTCACTTCAGTTTGAAGACTGGATTTAGGGATCTTTTTTCCTTTCATCATCATAAAGAATACACACCACTAGGATGTGGTGCTTTGTTGGAAGTTAGAAAAAAGTGAACTTATTTTAAAAACATCATAGATTCAGAGAAACAGCAGAACTAGCTTTATACAGGTCTCTGCTGCCTTTGTGTTTTCTAATTTGGAGGAAAGTGTTTTTACATATA